ACTGCTTCTCCGGATCAGGTATAATCCTCCCATTTATCTTTTGGTACAGATCTGGTTTGATTAGGGTTCAAGTAGATCCTTGAATATTGTATTCTAAATTCAGGGAATATGATTCCCAGTTGGGAGAAGGTAGGAAATTTTTGAAATTCGCCCCACCCATTCCGCAACCTTTATGGCGTCCATTAGATGGATCCTACCATTCTTTCAGGCGTACTAGGTTCCAGTGACACCGTGGAGGGTGGCGACGAAGGCCTTCCACATGAGATCTTCGGAGGAGCCGTGTAACATCATTATTGCCTTGAACCCCTCAATGTGATCGTTGAGGTCTAAGGCTCTACCATATTTCTTGAACTGAGGGGGTCGCCAGCCGACTGTGGGAGCTTATCAACAATCTCCTGGATGAAGATGGGTTCCTTCATGGACTGCTTGTGGTGCTGGTCTAAGGGCCGGGCCATCGGAGGAGTCGCGCTTGTATCCGCTTGGCTGCGTTCCAATTCAGCCAGGCACTCTCTCATTTCTCTAATCTCGGCATCTTTGTCAGCTGGGACCTCATTTACGGACTTTTACCCTTTAGGGATTACGAGCCGGTCTCAGATCGAGCTGGATTCTGCTAGCAAGATCGATGATTGCTGTAGACGTTAGTCGATCCATTCTTTTGTCGGCACTCAAGCGGAGTGCGATCTATTGCGGGAATTGTGCATGTGAAGCTGGATTGGGGAGTCAAATCTTCTAGATGGCCGCGGTCGCTCATGATCGGATTGGGCCCTATGCTTGTCTATGTGGCGCCTTTTGGGGTCCTCGATGCGAGGATCAACTATAGTAGGCGCCTGAGTGGCAGGGTGAGTAACTTGGGGGGCATGAGCTAGTTGCCCCAGCATCTCCATCATGGCTAGGATATGGTCGACCTTTTGTTGCATGGCTTGGAACTGTGCGGGGTCGACTGCTACTTGATGCTGGGGCTCTCGAGGCAAGGAGCTACGAAGTGAGCGTGATCCCTGAGATGGGGAAAGGGCTCCAGAGTGGTCGGACGTATTCTTAGGCATGGTTTCTTTTAGTGCATGGAGATGGGTTTGGGAAATGACTTTTTGTTCATTTCACACAGATGGTGCCATTCTGATGCTATTCGATCCGAGGTGTTCCGAACCGAAGACACAATCAGATAGTCCTGCCAACTGGACGAAGCTGTGCACCGACATTTGCAACCAAGGGAAATGTTAGAGGATCGAGGAGTTGTTCCCTGGGTAGGTACTCCGACGCTCAAGTTAGTAGGATAGATAAAGGTGTGCTCGGGACGAGCAAGTTGAAATAGCATTGGTTCGAGTTGAAGAGATAATGTGAAGACGTATTCAAAGAGTGTTCTTCTAAAAGTCTCTTACCTCGAGCGGGGAATATCTATTTATAGTTGGGTGTCTGTGTTCTAAATGGATAGGGCTTCTGTGGTTGTTGAGATGAGGGCGTCCACCGAGGCCTTCGGGAGGTTTCTTCTTCCCGTGGAGTCCGCTTCCTTGTCTGTACAGGATACTCCTTAGTCGTGCTCTTCTACGTGTGGCGTTGACGTGGCTTAAGAGAGAGGGCAGCTGCAAAGATTGCCACGTGGCATCTTTGGCCATGTCAACCATCACCCGAACACTGTTAATGCTCAATCGGAAACCACAATGGTGTTGATGGGGACTCAACTCATCTCTGTAAGGAGATCAGTGGATTCGGTGGTGGAGAGAGATATAGGGAGAAGAATGTGTTCGGTGTCACATGAAGGTGGTGACTAGAGGCTGTCTATTCCGCTATGTTTGGTGTCTCAAGAAGCTGTTTGATGGGGGCTGGATTGGGTTAGGAAGAAAAGTTGCAGTTTGTAATAGCGGAAAGCAGAAGAGAGTAGAGAAGAAGAAGAAGAAGAAGAATTTGGTTGCCGCTGCATTGTAGTCGGAATTTGGTTGCCGCTGCGAATTCTGATTGTCCGAATTCACAGCAATGTGGTTATGGGAAAGGGTTCTCAGTCCAATTGGTTTTGGAGCGCATAACTGGTGTCAAGCGGTCTGCTGCCGTTAAATCCCACTCAACAATTTAAAATGATAAGGCGAAATATGATTGGTTTGTCCACTTCTGTTAATGAATTTCTCGTCTCTGTAGTCCATGTACTCATTGTCATCAACTGCATATTTTAAAAATTTAAATAACAGTTAAGGACATTTAATTTTTTCTATCAGAGTATATTTAAGACTTAAAAGTAATTAACTCATATTTATATACGACTTCAGAGTCTAGTAAATGTGGCAATTGGGTTCGGATCACCCCGTTTCAATCAAGATCGGATTTGGATCATGTTGATTAAACATACCAGATAATGGCTTTGACTCGACAAAACAATATAAATAGGAGACACACACACAGGGAGATATCGGTTCTCAGTCACCTTATCTTCTTCTATACCTACTTCTCCCTTCGTCTCAACCTACCCACAATCTCAATTTCCCGCTGTCAGTCCACCAGCGGCGGGCTGCGTGCGCGCGCGAGCGGCGGCTGCGATCACAAACACACAGAGCCACATGAAAAACAATCTGTTGGAAGCCCTCAACGTCAGGGTTGTAGGCACCGGCGACAAGATCCTCGTCCTTGCCCATGGCTTTGGTACCGATCAATCAGCTTGGCAGCGCATCATCCCCTACTTCTCGCAGCACTACCGTATCGTCCTCTACGACCTTGTTTGTGCTGGCAGTGTCAATCCCGATTACTTTGACTTTCGACGATACACCACTCTCGATGCCTATGTCGACGACCTTCTTTACATCCTCGATACCCTCGGCGTCGACAAATGCGCCTATGTCGGTCACTCTGTCTCCGCCATGATCGGCATCTTGGCATCCATTCGCCGACCTGATCTCTTTACCAAACTCATTCTCATCGGTGCCTCCCCCAGGTAACTAAGAGATCGAAATGAAGAAATTTTATTTTATTCAGAGGAAAAAAGAGAAGCTGAAACCAAATCTTTCTCATATATTATGAAAATAATGCAGATGGGTATGTTGTTCTATTTCACAGGTTCTTAAATGACACAGATTATCACGGCGGGTTCGAGCAGGGAGAGATCGAGAAAGTGTTCTCGGCCATGGAGGCTAATTACGAGGCATGGGTAAATGGGTTCGCGCCATTAGCCGTTGGAGCGGACGTACCGGTTGCCGTCAGGGAATTCAGCCGGACCTTATTCAACATGAGGCCCGACATATCGCTATTCGTGTGCCGAACCGTGTTCAATAGTGATCTGAGGGGGATTTTGGGGCTGGTAAAGGTGCCTTGCTGTATAATTCAGACTGCCAAGGATGTATCAGTGCCGGTATCCGTGGCGAATTACCTGAAGACCCATCTGGGTGGTCGGAATACGACCGAGATATTAAACATCGAGGGGCATTTGCCGCATCTGAGCGCGCCGGCCTTGCTTGCTCACCGTCTACGGCGAGCTCTATCACGGTGAGTCGAGTCAAAGAGCGAAGCCCACGGATTAGACAGAACGAATAAGGCTAGCGATGTGGACACCTGGCGAATAAGTTGTGGACATCAGTCCTTGTATTCTTTTTCTTTTTTTTTTTGTTTTCTCGTGGGATTAATTCTTAGTTTGACGATAGATGGATGGATGGATAGTGGAATAGATATATTATAGAAGGGATACAGTACACACACAGACCAGACGACACTGATTTTGGAAGGATAAGATCCCACACGTGGTGATCACGTGATGACGGCCTTTTGTAGTTTTGTTTTTCTTCCTTCTTTTGGGATAATGTTACGATGCTCTTGCATTCGAAATCTTATTTTTATGTCTAGTCGTCGCGTATGGGATTGTGTGAAGAAATGACGGCATGAATGACGGAGGAGATGCACGATTGCCGTGGGCCACCACTCGTTAGATCCTATAAAAAAATTACAGGAAATGGTGGGGTCACAACATCCTCATACCATATTCCATTGATTGGAGATCATAACCATCCGTACGCCATCGATTATGGAAACGGACGGGTTGGTTGTTGTTGCCTTGTTGGCATGTGGCTCGGGGGATAAGGATTGCTTTTAAATATAGTAGTGGACCCAATTGTGTGCGGTAAACTTGCTCCATCCTCAACTCCAACCACAACAAATAGATCATAAATAATCCACCAAAATTTATTGATTTTTGTCCCAATCTGAGCCTCTTTCCTACGTTTGACGTGGTAGAGCTGGATTAGCATAGCACATTACATGCCAAAATGTCATCATCTACGTCTCACGCGTGACGTGGTAATACTTGACCACCCCTTTTCACACAAAACAGCCGTTAACTTTGACGGAAGGGTTCAGATAACTTCGTCGAAGAGAACAATTAAAAGCACTCAATCTCAATGGTAGCTAAATGCCGATAGAATTAACTAAGATTGCTCCAAAGTAAATTAGAGTTGTAGCTCCGATGACGAATTCGGTATATTCAATGGCATTCGTGATTCAACAACACCCGATTCCTGTGGAGATGCCTTGAAAATTTTAGAGTTACTGATTTGCTTCATTGCTTCAGTTCCCTGTGTGAATGTTTTCCCAGATCGAGAAAAAAAGATGGGTCTCTCATTGCACTTTGTATATTCACTTCCCGAACATCATCATATGCAGGATTTGAAGCCACAGAAGTGCTCTACGACAAATTCAGATAACAGGTGAGTAGAATTATTCAGTGGTTTGAACATCAATAAGAGCTTTAGATCTATTTCCTCGTTTTTAGTTTCATCATTTCTTAGGACCCTTGGTTTGGTTTGTGGGAATTGGAATGGACCATTTCGATTCCAACTATTGATTGTAATGAAATCGGAATGGGCCATCCTATTTCCATTCCTGGTGGAATGGCATTCTCCCATTTGAGGGAATGGCTATTCCCTCCCTCTCTCCCTTGAGAATGAAATCCCATTTCAAATGATTCTAATGAATTTTGATTCCGATTCCAACTGTATGAATCAAATGGACCCTTACATCTCTTAATTCATCATCACCATTATCTAATCCTTATCCCAACTATACGAGATTTGCTACATGAACCCTGTTTCACCCTTAAATTCTCTTTGGTTATGGGCGATTAATCATCTTTACTTCAACTTAAAACCAGGATCCATTGCCATAAGACATAAGATATGAAAAACTAGTATTTTGGTTTCCAAGCCCTTCCCCCTCTTCTTTGACAGAGTTAACATTGTTGCAACCTTATCAAATGTAATTGGACAGAACTAGAATAAACAATTACTTTGCATTTCGTGCGGCCGGAGGAAGACCGAGTACATGAAAGCAAATTGGCTCTTTCCTTGCATCAGAATTGTATCATTCATCTCAAACTATCCAATTGCAACTGACCCAAATTGAAAAAGCTAACAAGAGGAAGCCGACATCCGATTTCGTCCTCCTAACCCTCTTCATAATTACCTCACAACATGTTACAGCCAAACATCATAAATATTTCTTATATTCATTTTTTTTGTTCACGGAGAGATGTTCCCGATCGATGCATGGTTGCAAGTGGTATAAGACGGGTGTGAGGAGGATTTTGTGAAGAAAAAAAATCCGGATTTGAGAAAGCCATCTTTTTCCTTTATTTGGGTGATCGTCTTACTCATAATGATGATGATAGTTGTGGGCATCCTTTTCTTTCCTTTTTCTGATTCTTCTTACTGCGTTTGTCCGCATCCAACAGAAAGATTTAGGGGATGTGGGTGGAATCCACATCGTCCTTCTCTATGGTTGTTGATAGGTAAAGAGTATTATTGAAGTCCAACAATTTTCATCCCTAATCCATATCTTTTATTTCCGGGCCATAAAAATTCAATCAAAATGTGTAGGAAACGGATGAACCAACCAAAATGCTCAGGCCATAAACAAGAAAACAAAAGGGCTTAGATAGGATGAGCCGTATTATAGCAATAGGAAATCGTTATATTTATACAAACTATCAAGACAGATTTTTCTGGGCACCACATAGGACACATCTATGAATAAACTTAAATATGAATTTGATTTTTCTTGGCTATTTTGAATAGAAAATATGATATAAAATGGGTTTATCAACCCATTCTACATTGCTGATTTTGTGGAAATTATTTTGTATTCCGAGTCCAATCCAAAACAAAACAGAGGCTTTGAAAAGGAATAGTAAAGTAGTAGATTTTCCAACTTCCAAGCTAAGTTTCAGTTTCGTTACTGAACCAGGGTCCAGGGAATCCACATCCCTTATGTGGCTCCTTATCATTTCCTTTGTTGTGATTGCACCTCACAAACTTCTCCGCGTCATAGAAAAAAAGGTGGAATCTTCAATTTCCATATTTAGGACCACATAAAATGTGAATAAGAGGGGGAGCATCCAATTAGCTTTAAGCCATGTGGAATTCAAGTTTACCGGGGTGCTTGCTGTTCCTTGAGTTTCATCAATATCGGCTTCAATCAGGGCAAATCTGTGCTCACATCGTTTTAACAGCTTTTTACAACCTTACATTGTGAATATTTCTCCATGAAATAAAACACAGAGTATGGAGATGCCTTCAATATAATGCTGCGAAGGCTGCTCGAATGGGCTTTGCCCTGACTGAAACCGAACACAGTTTCATTGCATGATACATTATCCATCCCATTCAGTCACTTATTTTTCAATAAATATCATTGGTTGCCAATATTAATTCTTTTACCCCATACCCATGTAACATGTCATGTGTTGGATTTTTTTCTATTTTTGCAAAATAGCCAAATTTTGAGGAAGAATAAAACAAAAAATCAAATATAGATAGAAGTAGCATCTGCAAAACAAAACTAAGGGAATGGGAATGGACCGAGAGCTTGGGCTGCATTTTAGGCCCTTGGATGTAAATGGGCCTACTATAAAGCCTATTAATTAAATGAGTTCAGTAAGATGACCCTTTCGGCCTGTGAATAAGCGTTTAACCTCTATTATCTCTTGCTGTAGCTTTTCTTTCTCCCTTTCCCCACTTCACCATAGTAATTGACTAGTGGATTGTTTATCTTATTCATGCTAATCATCCGTGAAGAGTGTTATTTGGCTTGAAATTTTCAGTATTAGTTAGCTCTATATATTTTTTTAAATTAATTACGTGAAAACATGGCATTAATATTTTTAACAAAAAAAAAAAAGTGAAGAAAATGGCAATAGAGTAACATTTCATTGAAGACCCAGCGCATAGCCTTTGATGTGCCAAACCTTTGCTTCATCTTTTACCGTAGGCTGTTCCCACGTCTAGTTAATAAAAGGGCATGCGCAGTCTTAGCAAGGCCTTTCCCAAGGGCGGCCAGCATACAATCTACAACTGTGACAACAGGTAACCCATTTACCTTGATCCGTGTAGAATATTTTTATTGAGTGATGGGTTAGATACCAGACCGGACTGTCCAACGGATAGGGCTGGTGGTCTTAGGAGTTTGATTGGTGATAGAGTGAATTAAAATAACCAAGTTGCATGATTAAATTTTACTTGGTTCGAGTTTAGTTAAACTAAGAACAATATGTATTAACTCATTTTTAGAGATACAATTAGCTGAACCAATATCTGTTCAGACGCTCTGGAATCAATGATAAAGGCCCACATCAGTTATAAAATATTTGGGAGTTATAATCATTCAACCTCCTATTGTGGAATCCATGCATCTTTTGATTGGCGTGGGGGATTATCATTGGTTTCACAGCCCGCTACACATTCAATTTATCAATTAATTTTATTTATTATTAATTAGTTAATAAATTAATAATCAAAATTTGTTATTAATTAATAAAAAGTATTTAGAATTATTGTTAATATTTAAAATTTAATAATTGTATTTTCATTTAATGTTGATTTACAGAAATAATTATTATTAATTTAATATGAACAAATATTTTTCATAAATTTAATTTTATTAATCATTTGTAGTAATTTTAATAACTATTACTGGCAAGGATGAGCCAAGGGCAACAAGGTAATTTCACTTCCTTAGTCGAGGGCTATCATGTCCGAGGGTTGATATTCTGAGGGCTTCAATGTCTGACCTAGGATCAAAGAGTTGGTTAGAGGCCCCGGGTGTTATCTCAGGGGCAGAGACTCCGACAGTCAAGTTAGTCAAGTGCGTAGTAAGGGGTCGGATGAGGACTGAGGGGAGGAGCTCAAATGAGGTCACCCGAGTGCTAGAGAGCTTGAGAGTAGAAAATCCAAGATAGATTATATAGGGAGTGATGCACCTATTTATACTTGAGCTCGCCTAGGAGTTGGTTAGAGGTTGTTAGCAGCAGACGACCAGGATTTGATTTGGCCGATGCCACATGGCACCATCCTGGCCCTGCCATATGTGCCAACATCATTTGCCCCCCCACTCTCGAGGCTATGGAGGAGGGATGAGTGGAGACCTCAGCTTCGGCCGAAGATAATGCAACAACATTACTGGGAGGCGCTAGATAGCGTGTCTGGCAATGGACTCGGCCACGGCTCCTAAGGGCTTCCCTTAGTTGTCTTGGTCACGACTGCTTTGTTGTTGACTCCTCCTCTTGGGAGAGTCGTAGAAAGTCAAGGGCAAGGTACCCCATGTCTTGTATGGGTACGAGATGATTGTGCCCCTTGACTAATTGTTGTCGTGCAAGGAATAGGTGATGGATCAGTATGCTGTAGTCGTGTACGAGATAGATGCTGATGTCAACTAGTAATGACTGTACATGGGATGAGTCTTGGTGTTGGTTGGTCGTGATCGTGCACAAGATGGGCGTCGGGTCGTGGCCGTACACGCGACGGGTCATGACTGTACGTAAGACAGGCGTCAGGTTGCCAGGGTTGAGTCACTTCTA